TATACATTCAGTGACTTAAATAAGTGCTCATTAGCAATCAGAGGCGGTGAAGCAGCGACACACCTTCCAAAGCAGCAACTAGAATGCCTGCAAATGGGATCTGCTCTTGTGTTTTCCAATATGAAATATATGAAATAAAAAGGTGACACTGAACCAAGGCTGCCCTGACCCGGCCCATGGGACTGCTCCTCCCCAACTCCTTACCTCCTGTTTGTTACATCTCATCTTGCCCGAGTTATTCCAAAAAAAAGACTCATTATTGCTGATTTTTTATTTTTCTTTAATCCTTACCCACTGCGGAGCAGAACATCTCATCTGCCAATTAAACCAGGGCTACATCCAGACAGTTTTAATTCCAACGGATGAAAAATGGATTACTTTAGCCCAACTGTGATCTTCTTTTAATAACTAACAGATCGAGCACAGCAGAACCACCTTCCTATCTGGAAGGAGACAACGGGAAAAAAAATCAAAGCCTTTCAGGAAACATAAAATTTCATCCTCTCGCCTGCACCGAGGCTGTTCTGGGGCTACCTCATCCCCAGCTGGGGGGACCCCAGCCCCTGTGTCTGCTGCAGATAAGGGGATGGTGCAGCTTTTTGGTGACCTCCTGACACGAAGCAGCAGCCCAAGTGCGTTTCCCCCTCACACCATAGAGCTCTCACAGGCAGGGGGCAACTGCGAGGGGTGAGCAAGCAGAGAGTGGTCCAAATTCTGGAGATGGGATGCTGGGTGGCAAGGACAGCGGACGCTCTCCAAGGGATCCGCGAGGCAGGAAGGAAATAAAATGTGATGGACTATTTTTCTCTAATACAACCCTTGTTCGTCGATCTGCAGCTGGTAGTTAAGTGCTTCCTTTTCCTCCCTAAATATAGATGAAATGCTCAGCATGGAACAACTTCAATGCCTTTCACCCAACCTCTCGAGCCTTCTGCAAGCGCAGCCGGGGCCCACGTGAAGCCTCGGCGTCCCCCACGGCACAGACTCGGGCAGCTCTGGAAACCCAGCGGGAAGGAAAAGGCCAATTCCCTCTTCGCTGGGAAGATTTCTTGGTTAATGGGGAACAATGAGCACTGTTGACCAGGGCTACTATCTCCCCCCAGATCATTTCAGTTCAAACTACCCACAAGACCCACCTTGGTGGTACCCTGCATAGCCAAAATGCAGTGCTGAGGGCAAGGGACATGGAATGATTACAGGGACCTTCCTAAAAACAGTCACTTTGGGTCATTTTGTGGATGTCAGGTTCACCCTGTGATGCCAGAGAACACAAGGCTAACCCAGACCACAGCCACCAGGGAAATAATGCAGCTGGTGAGACCAGGGAGATCCAGGGCACAGGGCTGCAGCCACACCGGGAGGGAACATCAGGATCCAGGGTACGGACTCGGATCTGCTTGTGGAAACCAGGTGTATCCATTTATTAAGGCAAAAAAGGATGATGACAGCCACTCTTCTCAGCTCACCAGCCATTCATTTCACCCTGTTAACTGAGACGTCCAAAGAGAGCAAAAAAGGATGGGATTTGGCTGCTCCCTGTGCTCCACATGGCTACACGACACGGAACCCAACCCCAGCACCCCCGGGGAGAGGCAGGGGTGCTCGCTCGAGGACCAGCACGTGGTACGAAGATCACTAAGGGGAGACTCACGACTGTAGAGCAAGAGGGAGAATGTGGCTGGAAAACAACCCCTTGGGAAAGTGAGGTAGATGTTTAAATGAAAGTAACGGGAGATAATTGGCAGGCAAGCGTTTAGACACACCGGGGTGGGCGGTAAACACATGTGTAAAGTGAATTCAACAAAGCGGGGCAGAGGGGTTTGTTCTAGAAATTACCAAGATGTGAACTTGCATTCAAAAAACTCTTTGCAGCGAGGCATCTGCAGCACGTTCCCCTGCTCAGCCCCTGGTTACAGCCCTCTCGAGGATACAGCTATTGTTACAGCCCAGGAAATGCAGCCACTAAGGTTTCTCTCTGGAAAAGTTACTTGAATTAACTGTTAAATTATACAGTTGCTGATGTCTCAATATCTCAGCCAATTAGTTCAAAAGCACTGTAATAAATTAGATTTTTTTTGTACCGTGATGTTTATAAGTCTTGCTACAAAGCGAATATAATTACTCAAGAATTTTGTAGAGTTTTCTAAAGAAAAGAATCAGAGAGGATGGCGCCAGAAGACACCAGACACCTTGTAAGGAGAGATGGAAACCAGCACGTGGAGGGACAGGAAAGCTGGGAGGAGGATGCAGAAGAGACAGGGACAAAGAGCTCTCCCACCTGTGGGAGCCCAGGGGAAACACCAGTAACCCTGCTGTGGAAATACCAGTAACGGACAGTTTTTCAGGTCACGGTGAGCAGGGAGCAGGAGTTCCCTGTGTCATTTTTTAGGGCTCTGTGAAGGGTAACTGGAAAACAAACATTTTGCTGTAAGGCTTAAGCTCATGAGACTTTTTAAGCTGCCGGATGCAAAGCTCTCCAAGCTGAAGCACATCTCACTGCTCGAGACTCATCGAGCCCCGACGGCGCTCACCGCACCTCACCTGTACCTGCCGACAGACACTGAGATACCTGAACACTCTGATGGTCAGGAGGAGTGAAAAAACCAAGGGGGGTGTGTGGGAAGAGACTCAGAAGCCTGACGGGAGATTTTTAAGACACTGAAGTACCCCCAAAACACGACAGTTCCTATCTCTGTATCATCTCTTGATTCCCTAAAAAAAGAAAAACAACACTGGACATACAAACTGCAGTTTCCTCACCTAAAATCCCTTTTTCTACCTAAATCCCTGGCCTTAGGAGGCTTCAGAGCCTAAGTCCTAAACTATAAATCATCAAGTAAGCAGGTGCCAACCAATGGTTCTCCATAAATCAAGGAGCAGAGGCTACAACCAAGATACGTTATTTCTCTGACATTTCCAGACTCTTTCGTACAGGCCTGCCTTTCAATATTTAAATTAATAATTTTAAGAACTTTTTGGACACCTTAAAACTCAGCCCTAGCAGAACAATATGAAATAAAACACTTTCCCTAATGATTTTTACTACTGTCTTCCTGCAACTCCTTAACTTTTTAAAGATACCTTTGATTTTGCAATTACTCGCTACAGTTTGATTGTTCCCAGAGCGCGGGTTTGCTGCGAATAACATATACTGACAAATTTTATTCTCCACTGGAGCCTGAAATTTGGAATTAAATGTAATAGAAATAAATTTATTTTTTATTAGTTGTTTTAGTACTGAAAATAGATTGTTTCCAAAAGACGCCCTCTCCTAATGGCTTTGGAAAGCAGAGCAGCTGTTGAATTCCTCCTGGGCCGGTATCAATCTATTCTCGTTACTAACGGTGTTGCTAAAATTAAGCATCAATAAGTTAGGTGACAATCTGTTTCTTTTCCTTCCTGGGGCCCCTTCACCTTAGAACGGAAAAGAATATTTTGCATTCAAGGATTTGCTCAGGCTGAGTTGCCAGTGGCAACAACCGAGATTGAGAGTGTAAATAAAGGAACTTTAAGGTGAGTTGAAGTGGAACTCGTGCCAGGGATCCCGCTTCCATCTGCTCCTTTGCAGCTGCTCCCCGAAAGCTGCAAATGGCAGAAGGAAGCAACAGTTTTGTAACTGGGCACAAGTTTTCAACAACAAGATTCGAATCAAACACGGATCTAAAGCATTTCTGGTCTTTTGCAAACAGTGATTTTAACCCGTTATTCCCCGGGCAGACCGACCCTGAGGCACCCGGCAGAGAAAGCCCCAGCCCCCCTTTAAATGAGGGACGCTGGGCAGACCCTGAGGCACCCGGCAGAGGAAGCCCCAGCCCCCCTTTAAATGAGGGACGCGAGAGCGCTCGTGTCTTCAGAAAACAAAAGCCAAGAATATGCAAAGAGCAAAATCATCACAATTAGCATAATAAGTAGCTGCTCCATCAGTTGCCTAGCCAGCATGTTATTATACATTTTTATTATCTTTCTATTAAACTTTTCTGGAGCTCAGAAAGTGAAATTGTACTTGATATTTTTCATATCCCGCTTCCTTTAAAATTAATGATTTCTCTTTGGCATTTCAATTGTGTTGATGGTATTTATGAAGGAATCCAAATTTCAAACACAGCATTTCACACACACAGAGGCTGCTGAGACACGCCTGGCCTGGGGAGAGCTCCAGCAGTGTAAGGGATGTTGGGCTGGCGTCAGAAGCAGCACCACCACCTCTGCTCCATTGTTAGGGTGGAGAACGCATGAAATTGTGTTTCATTTGTTCAGGGCAAAGGCAGTTCCAGTTCAAAAGGGAAGCATCCTCTGTTAAAATTCACCTATCAATGTATTTTGCCAAAAATTATTTCTCCAAAGGAAAAATAATACATTATTTCAACTCTAGTTGAAAGGAAGGAGGTCTACAGTTTTGATATACCATAAAGATCCAGGAGAGGACCACCACAGCCCCAGCCCATTTTGGTGTAACTTCCTTCCTGAGCTGTATATGACGCTGAAAACCATCGTGAAAAAACAGAAACATGACAAAACCTGCTGACCCACCTCACCAGGATTTGTTCCTGTTTCTCAAAACGCAAAGGACAGGAGATACTCATAGAATCATCATAGAACCACAGAATGGTTAGAGTTGGAAGGGACCTTAAAGATAATCAAGTTCCAACCCCCTGCCATGGGCAGAGACACCTCCCACCAGACCAGGTTGCTCAAAGTCCCATCCAGCCTGGCCTTGAACCCCTCCAGGGATGGAAGTGTTCCAGGGATATTGCACTGAGCTCCTCCTGGAGCCATTAAACGCTCCCTGTCTGGCCTGCCATGAGTTATCACAACCAGCCGCAACCTGCAGTGACCTCAGTAACAAATACCCAGCTCCCTACAATACACACCACACATGTTTTTTCCCTCAAAAAGCACCCAGCTAACTGCAGAGAGACAACGTGTTGGGACAAGGCAGTTGTGCAACACTTCCAAGGAGAAGATATGATGCCTGGTCTCACACCCTGGCAGAGTCTCACCTTCTTGTGAGCTAGCAGGAGGCAGTTGGAGTGCTCGTGCTCACACGCGATTTCGTAGTCGGGGATGAGGTTTGCCAGCTCCTGGACAAAGCCCACCACCTCCTCGTGCCAGGGGACGTTGGCCATGGTGAGGTTGCTGGCCGAGCTTTCGCCGCAGTATGTCACGCCCTGAGAAGAAAGACAGAAACAGTCACCATCAGCTCAGCTCTTCCCAAACTTCAGGGCAGCGTTGGCACGTCAGCCACAGCACAACCCCAAACGGTCTGGTTTGCTCATCTTAGAATCACAGAATGTTTTTGGTTAGAAGGGCCTTTAAAGACCATCCAGTGCCACCCCCCGTCCTGGGCAGGCGGGCAGGGACACCTCCCACCAAACCAGGTTGCTCCAAGCCCCCTCCAACCTGCCCTTGAACCCCTCCAGGGATGGGGCAGCCACAGCTTCTCTGGGCAACCTGGGCCAGGCTCTCGCCACCCTCACAGCAAAGAACTTCTTCCTCAGATCTCATCTCAATCTCCCCTCTTTCAGTGTCAAACCCTTTCCCCTCATCCCATGGCTCCCCTCCCTGATCAGGAGTCCCTCCCCAGCTTTCCTGGAGCCCCTTGAGGGACTGAAAGGGGCTCGAAGGTTTCCTCAGAGCCTTCTCTTCTCTTTACACTGTATCTCATAGAAAGGCAACAATTTGGAGAAAGCATCAAAAATTGGCTCCCCCTCAGTGACACATCACCAAACCACTCTGTGCCCAGACTCCCCCAGCAATAGAGCACAGGTTAGTCTTTATCCTGGGAAAATGGTTTTAAAAGCATTCAAATGGAGGTTGCTCGTGCTCCTGAGCTATCAAGGGACATTTGAGAAGGTCACTTTGTTTTGAAGCGTGATACACCTGGAAGAAAGTCTTGTGAACAACCAATACAACAAGTCAGTGTGACACTTCTAGAGATCACTGTCCTTCCAAGCTAAGGCTGTGATTTCTGCCTCTATCCATACAGATCTCATCCAGCCCCTTGTAAAACCATCCTTCATGTCCTCCTCCCTAACCGTGCCTGGGGAAGCTCCCCGAGCCGTAAACCATTGGCTCTCCTTGCTTCCAGCTGTTCAATTTAATTACTGGAGAATTAAACCCACCCATTTTAGCTGTAGGTGATTGCTGTAACTGTCCCCGATCAAGACCATTTTGGCACTCAAGGTCAAAAGACAGTCCCTGCACTCCAAAACCTGTGTTCTGTCTTTCCCGTGGTGCCCATGGAATGAGACCCAGGTAATTGTAACCTGGGGTACCTAGAATACCAATAATATTGAAAATTTTAAGTAAAATGCTCAGTTCTTGTCATATGATTGTTTGGATCTTGAGATCTCAAGGTTCTTCCTCGATTTCTGGTCATTTTATAGGAAAAAAGAGATGTGGCTCCCTAGAAGGTGTAGATGCAGATGCTGGCAAGGTAGTATCAACTTCAGCCTAGAGAAACAGCAGATTTCTTTTAAGCATCTTTCCTTCCAAAGAAAAGGGGGGAAAGAAAAAATATCTGTAAGTGTGCAAATCATCCTTCTCTTCTGTTCATGCCCAAAGTGATGCTTCTTTAGACCCCGAAGAGCAAAAACACTAAAAAAAAAAATAGTAGAGAAGTGGAACAAAGCAGAGGATGTCTGTGAACCTTGAGGTCTCCTGAAGACACGTGCGAATTTTCGATTCAAACCAGAGGGATGGAATTTAAAGGTGGAGAAAGGAACGGGTGATGTGACACTGGACTGTGCAAATTCACCATTAGGTTTTTGCTAAACCTCCACGGTTTAGCAACTCCATGGGGATGAAGCATCTTCCCTGGGGGTAAAAGCAGAGTTTCCCCAGAGAAAACAGGGCTGTGCTTTGCCCTGCTGCCTGCTAGAGCTGCTCTTCTGCAGCAGCCAAGCACCCGACAACGCTGAAGGAAGCCGGTAAGTGGGTACCTCTAGGAGGGAGGGACGTGCCCTTACCCCCTTGACAGCCTGGAAAAAGGGAGACAAGGATTTGCACAGGGCCATGGGGGAAGCTGCGGGGGAGGAAGGACGAGAGGAAGGATGGCCCCCTGGACAGCATCGTGGCATTGCCGAAAATCTCCTCTTCCTAATGCAGCCTGCTTCACCTCTGCTCTGCTCCTCTCCAGCTCCTCCAACTCCCAGTTAGGACAAGACTTTGAAAACCATGAGGGAATTCCAAGGCTGGAGGAAGGTGCTGCTGATTTTTTTTTCATCCACTCTGTGGGAGGCAGAATTACCCTGGTAGCTCCGCAATAAGCTCGCAGCTCATGGTCCACAACATGGACCACAAGATCTGTTTCACTGCTAGTCCCACTCCAGCTGTCCCGCTGCATCAAGCCGTTCTTGGTTCCACTAAGACCCTTGATGCTGGTGTGAAAGGATGAACATGAAGCCTCAGGTGACCAAGTGCTGCTAGAAACCAGGTGGAGAACTCTGCTCAACCTCCTCTATCTGGCTACAGAAACACAAGTCACCAGTTTTCAGGATTCTTCTGCAATTCTCTGGGTCAGTGTGGGCAGCTTTGCTGGCCTGGAGATCTGCTGGCTGCTCACGTGCCTGCTGGGTGGGTGGGAGCATCTTAAGGAAGACTGGGGTATTAAGATCTCCAGGAGGTGCCAGCAGGTTGAGGGAGGTCATCCTCCCCCTCTGCTCTGCCCTGGGGAGGCCACATCTGAAGTCCTGGGTCCAGTGCTGGGCTACCCAGTTCAAGGACAAGGAACTACTGGACAGAACCCAGCAGAGGCTGCGAAGATGCTCAGGGACTGGAGCATCTCTGTGCTGAGGAAAGGCTGAGGGACCTGGGGCTGTTCAGCTGGAGAAGAGCAGACTGAGAGGGGATCTCATGGATGCTGAGCAATAGCTAAAGGGCGGGTGGCAAGAGGATGGGGCCAGACTCTTCTCAGTGGTGCCCAGGAACAGGACAAGGGGCACAAACTGGGACATGGGAAATTCCATCTCAACATGAGGAAAAACTTTCCTTTTGAGGGTGGCAGAGCCCTGGAAGAGGCTGCCCAGGGAGGTGGTGGAGTCTCCTTCTCTGGAGACATTCAAACCCACCTGCACACGTTCCTGTGCAACCTGCTCTGGGTGACCCTGCTCTGGCAGGGGGTTGGACGAGATGATCTCCAGAGGTCCCTTCCCACCCCCACCATTCTGTGTTTCTGTAAAGACACTGAGCATCCTCCTCCCTGCTTTTCCCTCCAGACCTCACCTACAGAAGAAACCAGCTACAGCGACTGCTGGGCACTCAGCGATCCAGATCCGTGTTTGAAAAAAAAGAAAATGGAGATTGGGGTCACTTGTCCAAACTCAGTATCCCCCCAGATATCGAGGGCCATGAGCTAGATACAAAACCAACATTGGCACAGTAAAGGCGGTGCAGACACAGGCAATAAACACACAGATTGTTTTTCAGAGCTGAGTACACGAGCGAGCACCCCAAAATATAAAGGCGTTTTCAAAAACTCCCTCCAGTTCATCTCACTCTTACTGTCTTCTGCTTAAATTAATTCAGTTAATACTGAGAACTGTTTGGAAAACAGTTCATCTCTGATTGTATCTCCTGCACGTGCTGAAGGAGGGTGAAAATCCAGCTGGTGCTGTAGAAACTCTTATTGTTTACTGATGAGTAGGGATTGACTCGATGACATTAAACAGCAGCTTGTCTTGTTTCGGTCAAAGGCCACCAGAACGACTGAGGAGTTTCTATAATTCTGCCACTGCTGTTTGTGAAACACTGAGAGCTGAAGCAATAGCCCCACAGTGGACGTCCACAGGGAACATCAAGGGATTGTATTTATAAGATGGATTTGCCCTGATTGTGGCTCTCCAGCCAAAAGGCCAGCACCATCACTCACGTGTCCCAAGAGCCCCTACGGCTCCTCATCTCCCCTGACTTGGCACTAGTAAAGGTCACACCATGCTGGAACAGTGTATCTGCACCAAAAAAAACTCCTAGTCCAAAGGGTGGGGAGTACCCAGCACAGGTACTGGTGTGACCAGGCCTACAAGCATCCCCTGGGCAGAGCATGGAGAAACCTGTCCCACCACACGAGGGTCTGCAAAGCTCTGTGGGTCACAGGTATGAACGGGCAGGAGCAGGAGGCTTTGGGGGAACAGCTTTTCTGGAAGCACACTCACAATCAGTTGCTAATTTAGAAGTGGCATCGTTCAAAAGACACCTTCATCTCAGATTTAATTGCATTAAGTCATTAAGAACTGGGTTCTTGCTCCAGCTCCCTTCCCAACCACCCAATACAGCAAAGGCACCGAAGGAGAGAACGTTGGAGCAGGACCTGTCTTCCTGCTGTGCCCAACCCAAAGCCAGGGCACGAGCACTGCTGGTTTGGGTGATTTACAGGGAACAGGAGCTGAGGTTCTCCAGGTCACTGCAAGAGCCACCCCTGCAGAGCCAGCTCCGTGCCCCGAACCACCACCCATCAGTGACGGCAGCCCCCCAGGTTCTCCTACACCCCACTCCAACCAGCTTCAGCCTCATTCTTTTGAGACCAGCTGCTCTAAATCTGGGGATTTGATCACTTGACCCTCCTGACTTACTGATTTAGTTTTAGCCACGACCTTGATTTCACTATTGCCTTGCTCCATCTTTAATTACTTCAGTAAAATTCTCATAAATTAGCTCAGCAGCATGTGGCTTACTGAGATTTATTTTTGCTTATTTCTTTCTTTCCATATAAAATTCATTAAAGGCTCATCCAGCTGGTTTAATCCGTGGTATCACGCCACAGGTCACAAACCCGCCGGCACCCAAAAGGGCAAATTCACTCAAGGAACTTGGCTTTTCTTCTAGACAAAAGCCAACTCCTCTCTACCTCTCCAGGTGGTTCCATCACCTTTGCTCTTTGGCTGAGCTATTTTATTCCAGTCACAAAATCCCATCAAGTGCTGGCCTTTAAAACAGAGCACACGCAATTTTATGGCTGATTATGCTTTGCATTCTCATGTTTTTCTTCTGTGAGGAACATTTCTACTTCTTTTAAATGGCATTTGCATCCACACTATGTTTACGGCCCCCGGTCCCAGCCTGTGCTGCACCCCCAGGACCTAACTCAGCTCCATCAGAGCTGAACGTGTCACGTCCAGCAATAAACACAGACAGGTCCTTTGCAAACACTTGGAATTAGAGCAAGGTGAAC